GGCCCCCTGGCACACCGATCGCCAGGTCGTTCAATCCCTGCACACGGACGCGGGGGAAGAGGCGATCCCTGCCTCCCGGGATCGCAGGTTCAGGTACAGTCCAAGGCTCCAAGCGGGAAAAACGAAGACAATTCCCTTTGCGGAGTCACTGCCTGGTCAGATTGCAGACTGAGAGCTTATCCCATCACTTGTCCCTAATCAGACCCGAACTGAGGCAGAATTTTGCGTTTGCTCCCCGCTCTCCAAAGGCAAGTCTTTGGTGACCCTGACAGCCAGGATTAAGGGCAAATTCCAAAACCTCAGGGAAGGAGAGGCGCAGGGACTTGCTAGAAGCCACCACCCCGAGAGGGGAAGCCTGGATTCCAGCCCGGCCTCGGAGTCCTTGGTCACCGGCCTCCTGGTAGGCGCAGATACAAGCCCTTGCTTTGAGAGTTGTCGCTTTTAAATACTCACAGTCGACAGTGATTGCGGGGAGAAGGGAGTGCCAAGCATCTCAGAGCTTATCCCCACACCAATAAGAAAGCTTTCTAGCAAGTCCACAATTTTGTATCTGGGGAAAGAGGGACTCAGAGAAGTTCAGTAATTTGTCCCAAATCGCACAGCTAGTAAGTTCCGCAAGCAGGACTCATCCACAGAGAGTCGTGATAGCTGGCTTCTCCTAACAGCCGGCTTCTCCGTCCCAGCCTGACTTCTGAGGGGAATTCAACCCAAGCAGGAGCAGGACTTCAGGTCTAGCAAGGCCTTCCCAGACGCTCTGCACAGACAGGAGAAGGCGGGCCTTCAGGCAAGATGAGGCCCAGAGGAGCAACCAAGCGAGACGGAAGAGACCTTCGCACACGTGTGTGTGTGTGTGTGTGTGGAGCCAGGTTCTGCACACACGCGCGTGCACACACACACACACACACACACACACTCCCTTCTGTCCAGCTCGCCTCTCCATTCCACCCTGCACCTCTCTGCTCAGCCTCTGCCTTCAGTCTCTGCGGCTGACGTTTCCCTGCACCCCCTTTCTGGGGATTATCTGAATTCACCTATGTCTGTTTCTGGGCCTCCTCCCTACCCGCAGGGTCACCAGGTCACCAGGTCTCAGGCAAGGGACTTGGAGGGTGGAGTGTTTCCCTCTACGAAGCGCAGCTGTGTGTTGTGATGTGCACGTTGCGCGCCGGTGTTGGCGAGTGTTTGGTTGTGTGTCAGCTGGGCAAATGTGTTGGTTTGGGGTTCCAGAGTGTATTGCACACCTTGGTTGTGCATGGCTGGCGATGTGCGCTGATTGTGCGTGTGCTGTGCGGTGTGTGTTGGGTGGGTGTCTGACGGTGGTTCTGTGTGCCGCTCGTGTGGGTATTGTGCGTCGCTGTCGGGGCGTTGTGCTCCTGACGTGCGTTGGCTGCCCGTGTCTGCGGTACAGGATGAGGAGAGCTCGTTCAGAGACGCTCCTGGAGAGCAGGGCTTGGGCCGCGGGAGGGCGCTGTGGAGGAGCAGCAGGGTAATGCGGGGACCTCGGGGCTGCCAGGGCCGCTGTGTGCCCGCAGGGGACTCAAGCTAGGGAGCGGAGCCGTAGGGATTTAGGGGAGTCTGAGTGGAGGCTCGGGAAGCCTCGGGGAGGGGCACCTGGCGGGGGTGTTTGGGGGCTTCCGTGGCAGGGACTGTCCCCAGCCTGCGGTGGTGCGAGCGAGTGGCGGGGAGGGCGGGACGGAGCCAGGGAGGCCGCGCGGCCCCGGGGCCCGGCCAGGCCGGCGCCAGCCGCCGAGTTGAAAGGCGGCCGCGGCCTCGGCTCGCCGCTTCCCATTGCGCCCCCGAGGGTTCCGGGCGGGGCGCAGACCTGGACCCAGCTGGGCTCACCTCGGGGTCTGGGGTTATGAAAGGGGACACAGCGGTGGGATGCGTGCTCTCCATCCCCGCCTCGCGAGTGGCCGTCTTCAGGACGCAAGTGGAGAAGCAAACCCTAAAACGAAGCGCGTTTGGTGCGCGCTCTCCAGCCTCCCCGGCTTGGCCTTGCGGGTCAGACGCCGGGACCCCGCCAACCTGTACCGAGCTGGGCGACCCGGGTCCCCTGCGCCACCCGCTGACCTCGCTCTTGCCCAAAGTGTTCAGGCAAAGGGAGCCTGAGTCCCTCAGGGGAGTCAGAAGGGCGGTTCACAGCCCAACGCTCCCCTACAAGGCTTCGCGTGCGGGGAGGCGAGATGCCCGTCCCTGCTCAAGGGACAGCGCTGCTCACGGTCAGACGTCCAAGTCAAGGCCCAGATCCCCAGCACTTGGTCTTCCAGGGTCCATTCTGGCACTAGGTGACCCTCAACTTGAGGAGCCTGGGCAGAGAGAGAGGCAAGCGTGGAATCTGTGTTCCAGTCCCTGCTCTGCCTATTAATTAACTGTGTGACCTTGGGAAAACCAGATCACCGCCCTGTACTGCTGTCCTCCCGGCTGTAAACCTACAGTATTCCTAGGTTTGTGGCGCAGTGCGGGGCCGGCTGCGCGGGGGAAGTCCGCAGCACACAGTAGGCTCTGAATATAAGAGCAGGAGGCTCGTCCCCAGCACAGCCCCCAGCGCGGTGGGTGGTGACTCTACACCTGGATCCTAAGGTCCTAGGCGGAGCAGAAAACAAATCCATAGAAGGTCAGGCCTGGGTCCCCCTGCCCACGCTGCTCTGGCTTGTAGACTGGGAACTGAGTTCGGAGTACTGGAGTGGACGGGAAGCGGTGCGCAGGGCGTTGCGACGAGCCCCCCCCACCCCCCAACACGCGACAGAATGTGGCCAGGAGCGTCACCCCACACCAGTGTCAGCCTACACCAGCGCATCGGCCCGCTCCAGCCAGCATTTATTGAGCGCTTTTTGTGCGCACTACTTGTGAGGAAAAGGTATTCAGAGACTAAGAGGAAAAAAGAAAGGGCCAGACAGACGGGAAGAAATTTTAACAAAAAACCCAGAGGCCCTGAAGTAGAGGGAAGCTCATCGAGAGGCAGAGGCGCGCGGGGGCGGGGGTCCGGGGGTGGCCGGCCCCTTCCACGCGGACTGGGACGCAAGGCGCAGGGGGCGGGGAGGCGCGCCCGCCTCGCCTGCAGCTACCGCCTCGCTGGAGCCGCGGCGCGTCTGCAGAGCGCGAACCGTTGCTCATTACCGCAATTATGTTGCTCTAAATTTGCCTCGACCCTAAATTACTAAACTCACAGGAGCCAGGAGGCCTCAGAGCCCGGGCCAGAGGAGACACCCGATCCTGCCCCGCCATTTCTCTATCCCAAGAAGCGGTAAGGATGCTATCGCAGCAAACGTGATCGAGCTGAGAAACCTCAACCTGGTCGGTATTTCCTGGGAGCCTTCCTGGGATGGTGGGAGAGATCCCCAGGCCCATTTCGCAGGTGAGGAAACTGAGGTAGAGATGTGGCGTGAGCTTACCTATCCAAGGTCGGACAATAGGCAGGTTTGGATCACAGGAAACCAAATCGGCTTGTCTGACTTCAAACTCAATACTATTCCTAAGACCAGCGAATCATCAAAGGTGCTTCTGGAAGGAACCCACGTTTGTTCTGGGGGTGAGGGTGCACTGCAGGCGAATTGCTTAAGTTATAGAGAAAAGTAACAAGGGTGGAGGTGACCCTTTCTGTGTGCATGCAGCAATAAGGACAGTGCCAGCCTTCAAAGGCCTTTGACAGGCTCCAGGGCACAGACGTCTGAGACCCGGCAGGTGGAACTCCTGTGGGATGAGGAGACCCAGGACCCAGTTCTGACCACCCAAGCTTCTGGGAGCCCGGGGCTGAGGGTCACTGCCCAGTCCCCTCTAGACTCTGCTGTGGAGGTCAGCACTCCACAGCTAGTTTATCTTCTCGTACAGCAGAGGCTGTGAAAAGTTCAGACCACGGTGCACGAGAAGACAGAACCTGTGCTCCAGCATCCAGGGCTGGAGGGTCCAAGGGCCCCTCAGCCAGCGCTGAGCACGTCGTGCTGGGTCCACTCAGCCCTGGGCTCTCGGAGTTCCTAGGCTGACCCCCAGCTCTGGGACTAGAAAGGCCAGTGAGTGCTAGACTTTCTCCGCTCTGTCTGTGGAGAAGTGGCTGCTCCTCCTGAAGTCCAGTGTCTGTGAGCTCCGGGCTTCTCAGAGCCCTTGATCTACTGCTCCTCCCTTAACTGCTCCAGGCCAAGGTTGCCCAGGACTTTCCACCCACCAGAGGCTGAGAAAGAGGGGTGCACAGATCTGGTGAGAATTAAATGATGCGCCCAGCACCAAGGAGAATGGAGGGGTGTGGGGAACATAAGGAGCTTTATTGACTGTCTGCAGCATCCTTGCAGAGCTCCTGCCAACAAGCCTAACTCGGCATTTGCGCAAATGCTGTGTATTCTCCCTGGAACCTGAACTTGACTTATTACATAAAAGAAAAGCCACGTTTGTGAATGCTGTGGAGCGGGGCCTTGCAAAGAAGTTGCCAAGGTGAGCGCAAATGTTCGCCCTAGGTTTTCCGTGAAGTTTGAAGTCCCTGTGGCATGTGTTTCTGTTTTTGTAATAGGGATTGCAGTAGGGGTGCAAAGGCGCTCATAGTCTGGCAGCTCAAAATTAGTTCCACAAACCTTCTGTCCTGGTGATGATTTAGAAGCAAAGCAGTCACTTCCATCCCCCACTTGGCCTCCTGTGGGAAAACCAGCTTGGGAGGGAGGTGGGAATTGTCTCCTTTAGCTGGCTACAGTCATCAAACCATTTGGGCGAGTCACTTTGTTTTCACAGACAGGTTAAAAGGGGAGAGAAAATAAAGAGTTGGTTATGGGTCGGCTGAGCAAGTGTCCATTTCAGCTTAAAGTGAATTGGAAATGGAAAATTGAGCCTAATCATCCTAGGTAATTGCTCCAATTCTCCACTTGACTTTGCTAGTGCAGCTCTGTCCTGTGTGTTCCAAATGACACCTGCTGTGTTCCTGTGGGTCCTCCTGTCACCTTTGAAAGTTGCTGGTGTAAAGCTATCTTGAAACTGCAAAAGGAACTGTATATGTGAAGAAGTAAAAGTAAAATGCAAGACTGAATCAGCAAAGAGATCACTTCTTGTAGCTTAAAATTAATTTATTTAACAAATATAACTATAATATAAATGATAATAAAATTTCAAATATACAGTATATTACATAGTACACACAATCCCTTCCAAAGGGAGTTTTGAGAGCCATGAGAATGTACTGTTAAATAGAAACAGATTTTTTTTTTTTCTAATTTTACATTTTTTTTCCTGGTACTGGTGAAAGAGAGAGATCCCTTCAACCTACCTTCGCAAGGCATCTGTGTGCCGTGCCCCCAAAGCAATGTTTGGCTGTTGGAGCTCTTACATTTTCCAAAGGAAGGAGACGGCATCCATCTCCTGGAGTGCTCTTCCCTCTCGAAGACTGTTCTTTCTCTGCACTCTTCCTGCTTGGCGTGAGGACAGGAAGCGGCAACGCAGGAGACGCTAGGGCCTCTAGTCCTGCTCCACGGCTAGTTCTGCTCGGGATCTTGCATAAATCTCTCGGCCTCTCCGGCCCTAGTTTGCCCATCAGTAACTCGGCGCGTGTAGATCTAGATTTTCAAAGAGTACTCACGGACCCTCCCGGCCACTCCTTTCGGGACGGGATCGGACTTCAGAGAGTGAACTCAGGGAGCAACCGGGAGAATCAGGGTGCAGCATGAGGGTTAAAGGGAAGGGGCCAGCAGTGCTGAGTGGGGTGTGAGTTGTGGTAGGAATCCTGCTGCGCGTAGATGCAGGCGGGAGGAATCGGCTGGCACCACAGACGGCGACCCTGGGCCACCTATGTCAGATGGTACATGCTGTAGCCTACATGGGCCGTGTAGAGTCCCACGGGTGCCACTGGGAGTGCGGCGCGCTGGAAGGGGCCAGAGGCACTGTAGAGCGAGGCGCCCGCTGCTGCGGCTACGGCGGCTGGACCACCAAGGGGGAAGGAGAGGCCGAAGGCAGCCGGGGGCAGCATGGGCTTCGCTGCCATCTTCAGTTTCTCCAGCTCGGCCTCCTGCAGTCTCTTGGCCTTGGCACGGCGGTTCTGGAACCAGATCTTTACCTGCGTCTCAGTGAGGCTGAGGGAGCTGGAGAACTCGGCGCGCTCCGCAATGGACAGGTACTGCTTCTGGCGGAACTTGCGCTCCAGAGCCAGCAGCTGCGCGGTGGTGAAGGGCGTCCTCGGCTTACGGTTGGTCTTGTGCTTGCGAAGGGTGCAGGCTGGGGGGCTCAGCCGCCCTAGGGAGCCGTGAGAGAAAGAGGCAGGGGGTTAAGAGACACGCTCGGTGCCAGCGCCAGCTCCGGATCTCCACCAAGCTCCTTGGTGCTGGGCACTAGGGAAAGCACTTGAGAATATTTTCTTCACTTCCCCCTGCAACCCCACAAGGAAGCCAGTCCTGTCTACTTTTTGCAAATGAACACACTAAGAGTCCAGATGAAACATACTCATTCAAAGCCTGGTGCCCATGTTCAAGGCAGGCACACAGGAGAGCACAGGTAGAACCACCTATTCAGGATGGCAGGTTAACAAGGCCTTTCACAGCGGGGCCTCTGCCCACAGCCACTGGCAGAAGGAGGGTAGATGTTAGTACCGGGCAATGGAACACATAGAAAGAGGCCCTGCATCCAGCCTGATGTCACACTGAGCTGTATGCCATTGTCAAGACATTTATCTGTGCCCACCAAGCGCTCAGTGCTGGGCTGGGCCACCATCTGGCATAGATTCCAGATCCCCAAATCTCAAACACTTCCCCCTGAAACAGCAAGCTCCTGCAGCGTTCTGGGGGGCAGTCCCTAGATGGGGGAAGTGGCTGTCACAGAGGTCGGACTGTGGCTCACCCTCTTAAATATATCTAGTACCCCTCGGAGAAGTAGAGAAATGACAGCTTCTTCTAAGGTCTCCATTCTCTCTTGGGCCTTGACACACCTTCTAATATTCATGATGGCTTCACTTGTGGCTCTGTTTGCAGACACCCATGATGCCCGACTGTCTTTTGATTTTGGTTTCCAAATAACCCTCAAGGATGGAGACTGAGAGCTGTAGCGCACAAGGCTGGCACTGCTGTGTACTTTGCCTTCCCGAACTACACTGCTCACCCAGCCCAGATAAAACATGCAACAGATTATTTCCGAGGCAACCAGAATGCGGTTAACTTTGGGGTCCCTGGGCCCAAGGCCCTAAGCCAAACTCTCAAATCCTGGGGAGAAAGCTCGGCCCACGCAGCAGCCTTCCTAAGGGAAGGTGGATTGCAAAGGATGGTTCACCACGCGGGTTTTGCTTATACTTTTTTTTTCCGGGTGCCCTTTTTTTCCCATAATGATCTTTGGTCTCTTTGACCACCCGGATATGAGTCAAACAAAATCTTGAGCTAACATCCCCTTACGCTCCCGGGCTCGGGAGGCCACTGTGAGTCCGGGAAGCAGTTGGCCGGGACTCGCTTTCTTCCGGGCAGCCAGAGGGGCAGAGGAGAGGGAAACGTCACCTTCTTCAGCAGGGACAGCCCAGCGCCCGGCCACCTTCTCCGGCCATTAGGCCCAGGGAGGGGCCGGTTTTTCAAAGACGTTTAATCCCCAGATAAAAATCATTCCTCAGCATCACGCTATTGAATTTGTGCTGCTATTATGCTGCACAAAATAATCGAAGGAAACGAGGAAAACTTGGGAATTTCCCGTGCTCCTGAAATATCTCCGAGGAGTGTTCACTGGGCAGAGAACCCTCAGTCCACGAGGCCTGGGAATTACCCTGCCCTGGGCGAGCCGTTAGCGGCTGGTGTCCTTTTCGTCGGCCCAGTCCCAAAGGCTTGGGAGCTTTAGACAAGATAGACTGCGCCGTCCCCACTCTTAGTGCCTGCCCCGCCCCCTCCACGGAACGGGGCTCCCCCTCCCCGTCGATCAGGTATCCCCCCAAGCACCAAGGCGCAAGGAACCTCTTGGCAAAGAGATTCAGTGCTTTAAAAGGTCGGAACGGGAGGCAGGCTGTTAGAACAAAGTGAAACTCCGCGCGCAGGGAAGGATGCCCGGGCCACTACGGCCCATCGCATCGTTTGGGGAAATGCGAACTAATAGGGTTTAAGGTCAGATGGTAAGGTAGGGTCCTTTCGTGGGTGCAGGGAAGGAAGCTGCCTCGGCTTCAGTGTCCTACAAGTGACCTCCCACCCGCAGGGTCACAGCGCCAAGGGGAGAAGCCCGAGAAAATGGACCTCGAGCTGGGCCTCCGCCAGGCCTCGAGCTCTTCCTGGGTGGCAGCAGCCGACACCCACCCCCCGCCCGTGACGCCCCGAAGCCTGGCCTCCAGGTATCCAGCTACAGGTACGCAGACGCCGAGACAGGCAGGCGCCGGTGCGCGCCAGGCGTCCCCGGGTCCGCACCCCCTCCCGGTCTGGCCCCTGCCGGGCTCGGCTACTCACTGGCTGGGGGCGGGGAGAAGCGGGGGCTCTGCATCCACGGGGTCCTCTCGGGCTTCTCGGGGCTCTCAGCTTTGATCAGAGCATCTTCCGGCAGCTTGAGGAGTCCTCCCACCGAGAAATGGCCCAGCGGCCGAGGCGAAGAGGGCGCATCTGCGGTGCCCAGAGACCCGGGCCGGGCAACCAGGGGCTGCACCGAGCCACCCGCCGCCTGCGGGCCCTCGGGGGCCGCCAGCGCGCTCTCCTTGGCCCCGGGCTTCCTGTGATCGGCCATGAGCGCCTCCACGCTGAAGGGCAGGAGCGAAGGGGACACTTTGGGCTTGGCCCCCTCCTCCTCTGCGCCCATGGCGGCGGCCACCGTGGCCGCGGCGGCGGCGGGGCCCTGGCCCCCGCCTCCCCCCGCCGGCTTGCCGAAGGCGGAGTCTTCCACTTTGACACCGAGTGGCAAAGAAGTCATATCAGCAGCCGGGGCCATGCAGAGCCGGGCCCCCCTCCAGCCGCAGCACAGGCCAGCCGCCGGGCATGGGCTTTGGGCGGACTGGGAGCGCGGCCGGCTC